CTTTCTGTTGAAGGCCGGGTTTCTGGATTAGGGGTAGGTGGCCCAGGGAGCACTTCGGCATTAGAGGCTGGTAGTGAGTTTTCCATGATCGTATCAATGACGAAGTTGAAGGGGAAAGATGGAAGAGGAGGGCTGCCCTGTCCGACACCACTTGATGTGATTAACTCGGGCGAGAGCTTCCCATTAACCTTCACACGGCCGAGGGAGTTGGCGTACGGCGCTTTAAGGAGGGTCAAGAATTTATGGGGGACAACTTTGCTCCGCAGACCCAGCAATAGTGCCTGACGGTCTACAGAGTCAAAGACGGCTTTCAAATCAAGAAACGCAACCATTTTTGGTTGTTGGAGGCAGTCACTGTTCCAGAATTTGCTAGATGATGAAGATGCATCTTTCGATGCATCCTTTTGCAGGACAGAACCCAGGTTGGTTTTCACGGATCTGTCTCTCCGTGTTCAGTCAACCTTTGAAGGATAAGACCAGAGGGCACCGTCGATGCCACAGCTAACAGGCAGATGCCATGGTGCTTTGCGCAGCGTCCACGTACCCTTTTTGAAGATAGGGATAACTGTCGACATGCTCCATTCTGCAGACACCTTCTCTTCGTTCTATATAAAAAATCGTTCAACTGTAGCACCCTTTCGGTGCCTAACTGCCATGCTACCCGAAGGTTGCACGAGAGCTGGGATACTGCCAGGTTGCCCAAATCTAAACAGGGGAAGTCGAGAGGCAGAGGTCGTGTTCGAACCACAGACCTTCCGGTCAGTAAATTCGCGCTCTAAACACTTGGGCCATCCCCCCCCCTTCATTCCATATATTGTCGCCACGGATACTCCGCCTCCTTTGGAGAGAGCTGGATACAGACCGTCCGCCCGTGGTGCCTTCTCATGTTTCAGTACGGATATTTCGTACTTCATTTCTTCCGAGGGGCGATCAAGGTTCACGTCCCATTCTCCGTATGCACTATCTCCACAGATTGTGTTGTAGGAGGCCAGCTGAACTATTTTTCGAAGTGTTCGGCACATCTTTCCAGTCGACAGTTTTGCGACTGAACTATTGAGCCATTTTTTCACTTATCGTTTCGCTGACCGTTGTTTTCCTAGGGCCAGTCGATCGTATCAGTTGATATCGGGTAGGGCTGTTTCCCGCAGCAAGAGCCCTCTCTATCTCCCAAGCTTTCGATGTTTACCAGAACTCTCGCTCTTTCCTTACTCTTCACTATTCGGCGTTTGAGGGCTTTGTGTGCGCCGTCGTACCCGTTGCCAGCTGGTATGGATTTCTTGGCATCAATCATGGATGGCGATCTTGACGACATCCAATGGTCTTTTAGTCGAAGCTGAGAAGT